GTGTGTGTGTGTGTGTGTGTGTGTGTGTGTGTGCGCGCGCGCGTAACCCATGCAAAAACCAATGAAGAGTTAATCAATAATTACCCCCCCCAACAACCCCCCCCCCAACAAAACAATAACAAATCACAACACAACACAATAAAAAGACAAAAAAAAACAAATAGAGCTTTCGTGCACTTATATTACATAACATTTTGTAAAGAAACCGACCACCCTGTCCCTGAGCAAAACTTGAAACTTGATGCAAGCACGACGGTTGTTAAATTAGTAGCCTATTGTAAAACGAAGCCAATAAAAGAAACAATCGATGCTCGCAAACTCAGGCACTCGCTTCTTGTTGGTTATGACACACGGTAGCCTCTGCACCTGGAGCTGCAATAACTTACGCCTGCACGTTCATTCTCTCTCTCTCTCTCTCTCTCTCTCTCTCTCTCTCTCTCTCTCTCTTTCTCCCCTCTCTCTTTCTGAACTCTCTCTGAACTCTCTTTCCCCCTCTCTCTGAACTCTGTTTTTGAACTCTCTCTCTTCCCCTCTCTCTCTTCCTCTCTCTCTATATCTCCCTCCCTCTCTCTTCTCTCTCTCTCTTACTCTCTCTGAGCTTCTATTCTCTCTCTCTCTCTCTCTCTCTCTCTCTCTCTCTCTCTCTCTCTCTCTCTCTCTCTCTCTCTCTCTCCCCTCTCCCCTCTCTCATGCATCATGCACCCTTTAGCTTTCTCCTGTTTTATATAATTAGGAAAATAAGTGGGTGGGCAGTAAATCCCCCCCCCCTCCCCCCCCGCCTTTTCTCTTTTCCAAGACTCCCTCCCCCCCACCCTCCTTAAAAAAATACAAGGAAATGAAAAACTAACAAAACACGATTAAACATGTATCCAAAAAATACGGTGTCTTAAAACATAGTGAAATACACCAGAGGCACGCTGTGCTTATTGCAGGAAAAAAATATGTGATGCTAAGTGACTCAGTAAGAAGTTATGTACGCCATTCGGGCAATGTGCAAGCAGACACATTAACCCTATCCGTTCGCCTTGGGGTCATTTTTGTACCCCCGGGGTTGTATTCTTCACATTTTAGAATACTTCTAGTACGAAGATCTCTTTGAAACTTCCAGTATTTCTCATGCAGACTGCCATGCAAGGCGTACGGATCGGATTAACGAGTAAATTTCCTCTTTGGAAAGTGGTGGCACAGAGTTCCCCACGTCGTATGGATGCGATAGTAAAACATGACGTACAAATAACGAATATGTATACACAGACACAAAGACAAACACCACACTTCGGAGAGGATCTGGTTGACTGGTTAACGTTGGGAGGTTTGTGGGGGAGAGGGGGGGGGGGAGACACACTCTGTCCGACACAGCATTCACATACCCATCACAGTCAAACAATCTTATGTGCAATAAGCAATAACATGTTTGTGTCATAGATGGGATTTCGGTAGAAGTAAATTTTGACCCCCAATCTTAAAGTTAAGTTAAAAGTGCCTTTCACACATATATCTGCTTCTTCTTTCCTATCAAACATCTGTCGTCTTTATCTCCCCTCCTTCTTTTTTTATGTTTGTTGCTCTCTTGTAACACCTCTAATGTTCTGGCGCTCATATGACCTTATGCAGCTGCGAGCGCCGTAAAACCTCTACTAAAACAAACAAAACACATATATTATATAACGACACGGTTTCCCAAATGTGGCCCCATGTAGAGTGGAGACCCCGGATGTGCGTTCTAGATCCAATCAATAAGTTCGGGGGGGGGGGGGTAAAGTTTACTTTTACCGGAATTAAAAACAACAACACAACAACTGGGCACACCACAAGTGCACCTGTGTGAGTGAGGGTAAAACATACATGTATAAAAGTGTAGAATAAGCCAACGGTGGAAATGATTGTGGTAGTGGTCGAGGAGGTCGTGATGGTGGTGATATTTGGTACAAAATTTAGGACCCGACCAGAAAAGGAACTCTATTGCAATACCGTAGATATCTAGTTCCGAGTTTTGACCATTGAGAAAGAGAGAGGTGACACTGATTGTTTGACTGCATTAGGTTTTCAAAATTTAGTCAGCATTCGGTCGAGACAGAAAGATTTCGTTCTTCACACCAAGATGCACGATAAACAAGGAATGGGTGATTGGTGGGTGGATACTGACTGGTAGAAAGGGAGGGATAATAATAATGATAATAATAATAATAATAATAATTATAATAATAATAATAATAATAATAATAATAATAATAATAATAATAATAATAATAATAATAATGTGATTATTATGATAAATCATCAACATCAACAGTAGAAAGAACATCAATAATAGTAATAATAGTAATGATAATAATAATAATAATAATAATAATAATAATAATAATAATAATAATAATAATAATAATAATAATAAAAATAATAATGCAATGCTGACATTCCATACGACAAGGCGGTGAAATACACGTGGGCGGTGCGTCGGGGCTGAGTGACAATGTGACAGGAGGCTAGACACGCCCCTTTTTAGTGTGGAATGTTTACCCAAGTCGTCGTCATGGTCTCCAGGCCCCGAGGTGTGGTCAATGCCAAGGGAGAGCAACAGGAAGCTCTTAGGCAAGGCGTCTCGTATGCTAAACTCTGGTTCGCTAGTCTCTAAAGCGGGATAGAAACAGCATGGAGTTGGCATCAAATCTTGGTTAAGTTTTAGTCTTAGAAAGAGTTTCACGGCACTTGCGACATAAATAGGACATTAATTTAAATAAATGCCGAGGATTAGAAGTGTTACAAGAGAGTATCAAAAAGTAAAAAGAAGGAGAGATAAGGGCGATAGATGTTTGATGGGAAATAAGGAGCAGACCACACCAGAGCATCCACCAACCACCTACGTTTAGTTTCAGTTTTTAGTAAGTTTTACGACACATGCAAAACAAATAAGACTAATGGTGCCGAGGAGGAATAGAGGTGTTACTAAAGAGTTTATTTGAGCAAAGAGATGCACATCGACATAAGTACGGTCATTTAGTGCAAGGGGGGGGGGGGGGG